TGTTTTAATGTCTGTGTGGAAACTGTCATGTGCTTATTCCTCTCCCATATCATCAGGTTTCTGGCTCCTTTTAAATTGTTCCCAGATGTTGTTAGAAATAAAGTGTTTTACAATGCTGTTGGATTTCCTTAAATCACGAGATCTGTCTCCTGGCTTGTCATACCCCTTGGGAAATTCATGCCTGTAGGCTGAGAATGACTGTGGTAAATGTGCAGTGCAGCTGAAGTTCTCTTACTTATCTTTCATTTGGGGAGGAGGGCAGAGAGAGGGAAATGGAAAGGGCAGAATCATGCTGGTTTTGAGAGAGGTTTGTAATATCAGCAAATATAAACACCACAAATGAGAGAGTATTTGTAAAAAATGTATTTTTCAATGTCTTTGAGTGTCATCCTTATATTTTCTAGTGTGAGTTTAAGAAATTTTTTTAGGTAATACTGCTGACCTTTTAACAAAAGTTAACTGTTTCTAGGAGTCACTTGTTTACTGTTTCTAGGAGTATTGTAGTGCTTCTACACAGGCTTCTAATAAGCTGTCCGTAATACACTGTTAGGTTAGGTTTAGCCAAAACTTCTGATTAGAGTCTCCATAGCCCTGAATTATTGGGGAAAAAAGCTGATGTCTCTGATGTAAACAGTTGTCAAAAAGTATTTTAGCATAAAAGACTAAACCCTTGGAAATCTGGGGAATGTGTTAAGTATTTACAGCCTGATCTGGAATATGAGGAAAATAGTTTGCAAAGACTTCTAAATAGTATATTTTTGATTAGCCTGGAAGCATAATAAGACTGTAATGACTTCCTGAAAGTATACAGCTATGTAATAAAACCTGTGATAGCATGAAGCTTTATAGTAGCCTTTTTTGGGGGGAAAAATCTGAAATTCTGTAATGTAAATCCAGCTTGTGTAGTGAAGGATTTTGAGTTAGCTATAACTTAAAGCAAGGACCTAGGACATTCATTTGCTGGGCTAGGAGCTTCTTCTTTCTCTTTGATTAATTGATTTTGTAAATTGTAGAAGTGACAGTGTAAGAAATAAGTATTCACTTAGGGAAATTAGCTAAAGTATCAAAGTGGTGTCTTTAATTTACACTATGTAAAATAATTTTTGTATATATGATTTTGAATTTTCACTTAAATATGCACTGAAAGTCTGATTTGGTATATTTTTTGTCTTTTTTGAAAGTGGCCCTGCGTGTCAGTTTTACATTAATCCATTGATTGAAGCCATGCGTTAAACATGATGTTTTCCCACCACGCATGGATATGCTCTCATGGGGTCATGGGGGTGAAGACATGGGCTGAAGTGGAAGGGTGGTATTGACTGTGACAAATTCAGGGTTCGCTTGCTGCAAGATGTTAGCTTGGAAAGTCCCTTGTTTATTTTGTATATTTTGGTAAATGCTGGTTTCATAAAGAAATGGTCTAGATAGCTCTGATCTGAGCACTTAGTTGTTAGTTTTTGTGGAAGATTTATGTGGATTAATTTTCTTGGTATTGGTAGAAATAGAAATATAGCATTGAAGACTTGTGCTGTTGAGGCTTAGATGTCAGAAGATGACATATTAATAGTATAATAGCAGTTTGTACTTCTTATTTTGTTCTTAATAATCTCCTTGCCTCGTGCTAAAATGGATATTCAATTAGTCTCTACCATGTCGCTGTTACAGTAACTATCCTTTGCAGTTTATGTGAAATGTAATCATTGTGGTGGTTTTTATTTTTTGGTTATTTTAACTTAGATGAGTATGTTTTTGCCATCTCTGTATTTCTGATATTCAGTACTGTTATACAATCTCAAACTTGCTTTGATTCTTTAGAACACAGCAGTTTGCACAGACAGGGAAAAGAGTTAAGCGAACGTTGCTGCTGGATCTTCCTTCCTTGAGTCTGATTCTGTGTGCTCTTCAAATATCTGAGTTTGGTTTCCTTAGCTCTGAAACACTCAATACAATTACCTAATTTAGTTTAAAAGTTTGTTCCATTCAACTGGCAGAACTTCTGTGATTGAGACAAATTAAATATTTGAGATGCTTGGAAAATTGGTTATGATTTTGAAATTCATGTGTGACATAGCAGGGTGATGAAAAGCTTTGCTCATGGAGCACGATGTCAGTCCTTTTTGGCTTAGCACCTCTAAAAGAGTATGCACATAAAAACAAAACCAAGCACCCCAAACCACAAATTGAATACACCCTTATCTCTGCTGAATAAATGTAAGTAAAGTATTTATGTCTTTGTAATTCGGGAGGGATTGTGTTACACAGTAGTGCCAGTCCAAGAGCACACATTGGCTTACTTTAGATGCTTATATGAAATTGCTTTGCTAGCCAACCAAGATCTTCAGACAACCCTTTTGAAGTAAATCACAATAACCAGGCAGGTACTGCTTTTGATTTTGTAATTTACCACTCTGTATCCAAGTCCATCATGTCTTTTGCTGCAGAGCTGATTTTAAATTCACCTACTGAACTGAAGTACAGAAGGATCTAGGCTGCATAAGAACCAATTAGGAAAAATAAGCGTGTGTATCTATAGGATCATAACTTATATGGTAAGAGAGATCTTTGACCAAAAGTTTGGGAAATACATACCAGAATGAGTTAATAGAGGTTTGCTATACATTTGTGATTTCACAGGGGAATTGGAAGAACATTTCATGTGTGAACCTGTACATATGTGAATCAGACTTCTGAACACTAATTTATGCAGATAAGACAGGTGTAGATTTTATGATACACACCGGTGCAAGAAATTAATATTTAATTGTTCCTCTGAAGCAAAAATGTTAGAACTTTCATGTGCAATGACAAAGTCTTGTGATTGACTGTGAAGGTATTCATGAATTGTAAAATGATATGCTTGTAAATGAAGAGAGAACTGTTCATGAAACACAGATACAGGAACTGAATATCTACTCTGTTGAGTAATTTGTGCTCCTTTTGGATTTTTGTGCTGCAGATTAAGAAATTAACAGTTTTTTTGAAAGCCAGATTTACTAGGAACCAGAAGTTTATATAATCACTCTTGCACTCTTTCATTCAGCAGTTGCTGTTGTAAGTAACTTTCTGAAGCTGGAGGCAATTGAAATCTGAGATATTTCAGAATTGTAAAGTTCCTACAGATTTTGGGAAGAGCATTCATTTGGTGCTGGGGTTGCTTCAGCTATTTATGTAGTAATTGCTGAACTGTTGCAAATTTACACCTGTCTTACTGAGGGGGAAAAAATGCTGGTGAATGATCTTAATCAGCTGGACTATGAACAGATTCAGTGTCTGCTGCTACTTCTGTCTAATCAGCTGAGCTGGCCAGGCTGCAGACAGGGGCTCCCAGGCAAAGCTAGATGGGTATTGCAAGCTTAAAATACTGCACTTACCACTGAGTAACCTAATGCTGCTAGTAATCCTCAACTTTGCAGCATTCTACCCTTGTCAATATTATGTTAGAAAAAGTAGAACATGAAAGGGAAAGAATGTTTATGTTTCAGCTTACATCAAGTACTTGCATATTACCAGTAGTAGAAATGTACTGTACATCAGTAGAAAGCAATGTAGTTAGAAAAACAGAGAATTTCTATATTTTACCTATAAGTTGCTTCTCAGTTCTATCTAGCTATTTTTTTTTCAGTTATATCTGATTAGAAATGCATCCTTACATAAAATGGACAAGACATTGTCCCTCTCATGGTTCTGTCTGATCTTGGTATTAGGCATGATGCAATCTTAAGGGATGTCTTGCTCATTTGATTGGCACAGCTTTGTTGCTTACCATGTACCCTTACAAGCTTAGAGCATTCAGTAAGCTGTATAGAGATTCTTCAGAGCTGATGTTGAAAACCAAGTAAACTTTAAGGGCTCTATATGTGTGTACACATATATAAACTTTAACATACTGTTCTCTGTGTGGACACAAATACAGTGCAGTATGAGAAAAAGGTAACGGTTTGATTTTTAGTGGTCCTTCAATTGTGCTGTCTGTGAAGGTAATAGTCTCAGATGAATTTATTATTAAGTATTGAAGTGCCCTGTAAAACATACTCATTAACTATTCTTGATTCTCTTGTAGTGTCCACAACAGAATTAAACCCATTTATTTTAATAAGGATGGGTAGAAACTGGTTTTTTTCCTCATTACCATTTTAGCAGTGACCTGGATTAGTCTTAAGGGTGCTGCAGAAATACTTCTGAGGTGGTAAAGAACCTGTAAGAAATGAAAGATAATATTCAAAGGATGGTTTAAATATTTTGTTTATTGAAAGATCACGTAAAGATTTTGTAGGCTTTTTGAGGGATGAAGTCTTGAGGGTGAAGAGGGTTGGGGCACAAATGAAAAAAAGAAACAAGGTGTGAAAAGAGGCGCCTCTTCAGCTGCGTCAAGTGCCCATCACCATCTGTGGAAAGGGTTATCTTGTATGGTTTTAGTATAAACCCTCCTGATTTTTGCAGCCCAATTTTAAGTCATTCATTAATTGATATTTCTCATGTTTTAAGAACTACAGTGAAGATGTAATTCCCTGCCCTAAGTTGTGTTTTTCAGACAAAATGAATGTCCCCAAAATGAAAACTGATTTCATTTCCTGTGATAATTAAATCTTTGTTTTTAAATAGGGGTGTTAAAATTGAGCTAAACTCCATATTTCTCTTTGCATAGATTTCCCTTGTAGTTTCAGCCAGATATAATAGTTTAATATATATATGTGTATTAAAATATTAAAACTTAAATTAATTTAAATGTTATTGAAGTAGAATAAATTTGTTTAATTATATTTTAATTTGAATTGCTGGACAAAATTATTGTTCAGCAGTTCTCATTGTGTCCAGAGATGGCTTTATTTTAGTGGTGGGTTAAACAACTGTGCTTAAGCTGCTCTCATTTCAGATTGCCGTGTAAATATTCCGCTTTACTTAGATTTCGAATTGTTGCACTTATCTGAAAAGAGGAAGTATCATCTTTAAAAATCACAAAATAGAGGAAAAAAAATCTCTTACTGTCTCTTTCTTTTTAGAGAGGATCTGACGAACTTCTTTCAGGCAGTGTACTCAGTAGCCCGAACTCTAACATGAGCAGCATGGTAGTTACTGGTAAGTGATGCCCTTTCAAAGGAGAAATCTATAATTTATACTTGGACTCATTTCCTGTTTACAAGGGGAGAACACCGAAACAAGAATCCGTTGTGCTGTAGAGGGATAAACTGTTGGCTTGTATTAGAATATAGTGACTTCGTATTTTCTACAAACCTTGGGTGTCTGAGAAGAATAATCCCACAATCAACAGGCAACTTTCAGATGTCTGTATACGAAATTGTTGGTGGGTGATGGGATGTAAAATGGCAGTTGGCTTGTACAGCTACCTTTGAAGTAAGGAATCTCAGCTGCCAGGCAAAGGTAAACAGCCTAGTTCCTGTGGGACATGAACTTCTTTACACTTGGTCATCTGCAAGTCTGGGCGTTACAGGGAGCACCACTGTGCCAGTTTCATAATACAGGGTGGATTCAGGAAGAGAGAGTTCTGGTTCACTGCTAAAGCAGGAAGCTTCACTTTGCTCTTTCAGTTTGAGATTGCATGGTAGAATATCAGAGCAAAGTGACTGTGGCTGTTCTTGAATCAGTTTTCTGGTGATGCTAGATAGAAAGGTTTTTTCATTAATTGGCGCACACTAAAATGCCTTCTATTGCAGTTGGTGCTTCTGTATGTTGAATATACATTGAGTTCCCTTGGAAAGCTCATTTCGGAGGTCTTGCTTTTTCTCTTCTTTTTCTACTGTGCTAGTAATTTTTTTGTGGATTCTTTCTCTTTTTTTTTTCCTCTTGCCTTAGAGATGTGGAGGAGTTAATTCATGGCATCAGGGGGTTGCTGCAATTTCCAGTCAGTTCCCTGCTTCACTGTTCTACTGTGCCTGATTTTCTGTATTCATGGGGTCAGCAGTATAATCATTGATATTAATAGCAGACTCTTCCCTTTTAATTTATTAGTAAGAGGTTGGGATTCAGGGTGCAGTTTCGTGTTACTGTTGGGGTGCTGTGGTGACAGCTCTTGCCAGAATGTGTAGCTCTGTGCTTTCTCATCCTACTTCTTTATCACAAGCAGAAAAACCTCCAAATGCACATGTTTCTGCTACACTCTTCTGTTGCAGTGCTCATACACTTGCAGAATAAGTTAATGCAGCATTAAATTCTTCTAACAAAATAAAGTAGTTTTTCCTTGGAGCAGTTTACTGATGAGTCATGTGATTGCACAGTTGTAGACATAGTTGAGTAGAGGAGTGTGGCAGCAGAAGAAAACCACTTCTACTGGCAGTTCTGTAACCAGAGGTGAAGAGGTGGTTGTACTTTGGAATAAGTCAGAAACGCAGTGTAGCCATAGCCATTTTGGAACCCCAGAACATTTATCTTTTCCCTGTTTTTCTTACTTCCTTCTGGTTCTGAAATAGGTCCTTCTTGTTTTCATTTTCTTGATGTCCTTTTCTGTCCTGGATATTAATTAGTGCTTCATCAGTTTGCTTTACTTAAACAATAAACTACTATGGAAAAGAGTTGTGTGTAGGAGGGTTTGTGTGTCGGCAGTGGACATTAAGACAGGACCAAGTCCTAAATATTGCCAAATTTTCCATATATTTTTAGATAAACTTTTAGTTCCAGGAAATTAAATGCAAATTATTTTACCAAAGGAAAAAAGAGGTAAAGTAAAAAAATTGAAATAAGAATTATAACTTTGAGGATTTGGAAGAAGTACGGAAGCTTGTCTAAGCAGCCCCTACATAGAAATTCTTCCTTAAAAATTCTGAGAATGGAAAAGCATGTTTTGATCCCATTAGGCTGATGTATGGGGTAGAAGTTTGATGTATTTAACAGATAAGTTGCTTCCCATTTTGTTCTTATTTCCACCCTGTTTAAGATGATAAAGGGTTTGGGTTTTATTCTTGGGAGTTTCTTTGTTGTGTGTGGGCGTTTTTTTGGTGTGGGTGGGGTTTCTCTCTTTGGATTTTTTTGGCATCCATAACCATAACTCAAGAAATAATCTCATTAGCAGCAGTGGTCAGAGTAGTGGTCTGGCTCCTGTAGTATCAGATGCCTTTTACTAAAAGTTTCACATGAATTCTGTGATATGTAAAGAAGGTTGGTGGAAAAACAATCCCAAACAAACAAACAAAAATCCACAATCTGAATGCAGTGCTGTAACTCAAGTCATTCTCTATAGCAGTCTGTAAAAAGGGGGCTAGTTTGTTTGGGTGTTCTATTTTTTAAACAATTTCTTGGTATTGTATTCAAAGTTCATTCTGCTTGCCTCTTTGAAGTAGCACAAAAAACCCTATAGAGTAGGATAAGTCCTCTGTTCAGCTTCTGAATATATCCTCCCATAGCTGTCTTGTTTACTGTGAACCAGGAAGTACTTTTTCCAGACTTGCACAGTTTACAAGTTCACATTGTAAACTCAGAAATAGTTAGATGTGAAATTGAAACCTGTGTGTTAATTTTTCTGTAACCATCTCCTGAAGCCAAATGAATTCAAGTGTTCTTTCTATCTGATGTCCTCCTTTTGCTTCAGTTCTGCTATTACTTTTTCTCTTCAGAAGAATTTAAAAATTTAGTCAATTGAACAAATTTTCTTGCTGTAGCCAACGTGATGAATCTTTCCCAAATTTTCTAGGACTTCAATGACCCTGTGATCATTTATTAAGTCCCTTGTAAATGAGATACATAGATATTTGCATGTGTAAAACTAATACTTGTGCTTGCCCTTTCATTCTTAGGGTTGGGAAGTGTCACGGTATTATTATGAGACTTGACCATTGTTTTCTGGAGAATATAGAAACCTATTCTGGTTTTGACTGTGATATTTCCAATATCTGATTCTGTGATATTCTTTTAAGTAGATGGCTAGGAGAACAGAAGCAAGGTACAGTTTGTCTTTGTAATCCTCTGAGCCTTTTACTGGTGAAAGTGTACACAGCCAAAAAACTAGTTATCAGTAGCAGTGCCTTAGCAGGCCTAAACTTTGAACAAAATCTTGTCAATTACAGCCTCATTTCTTTCTCTGCTGTAGAAATATTAACCTAAACCAAAGTGCCTAAGTTGTCAAAAAAACCGACCTTTTCTTGGAAGAGAGGGGTTTTGGAGGGCTGTGTCATTATGGGTGAGACTGAAGATGATTTTTTAAAAATTAACATCTTACCTTTTTATCATGGGAACAGTTCCTTCAGTGGGTTGTTGTTTGTTTTGTGGGTTTGTTTTTTTTTGTTTTGTTTGGGGTGGTTTTTTGATTGTTTTTTATTGTTGTTTTTATTCAGCTGCCATTCAGTGAGAATACGGTAGTACTTTAATGCTTTTATGAATACTCTTGCTCTAATCTTCTCTCCTAGTGAAAGGCACGAAAGAGGAAAGGTTTCTCTGCCCTATAGGGAGTCTTGCAGATGACTCCTTTCCTATTTTTTGTGTAAGAAACTTGTGAAATTGGTGAACAGATGTTTGATTTGCATTCTTACTGATAATTTGAACCACTGGTAATTCTCTAAAAAAGGCTAGCATCTTGGACATGGTTCAAAATACAAGGCCTGATCCTTGGGCATTTTCTAAACAGTTTTGTCATCTGTATCCATCCTCCGGACTGGGTAGGTGACAGTGTGGGACATTAGCAGTCACTACAGGTGAAGAAGTTACTGTTTTAGGTACTTTCTATGTCTTTGTGGAAGAACACTCTTAAGACTGAAAGAGCAGAAATCTAGACTTGGATTAAGATGACTTTTACCTCTTAATTCTGAACCCTGTTTTGGACAAATTTGGTTACTGTCATTGTTGAGAAATTTCATTTCAGTTAAGTGTTTATATTTAAATGTACATGATTTATTTTTGTTCCTGAACTGGGTTGGGCAATATGGCAGAATATTATTCTTTAAACATTAAGGGAAGGATCCCATCCACTAGATTAGAATTTGTAGCAAGGGAGAACATCTTGTAAAGTACAAGATCAGCAAATATCTAAGCTTAAGGAGTTCTTTTTTTATGTTGCATGTGTAAGTTACTGATGTTTTTAACACCAGCTGACATGACTGTATTAAAGTTGTGTTCTCAGAACTACAGACCTTTTACTACTTAAACTACTGCTAGTTTTCCTTTACGTTTTTTGAAAATATTGTCAAAGTCTATTCTTATTTTTTGCCATAATCTTGCTTGATTCTGATTTCTATGGAGAGCATGATCTTCTCATAAAGATCCTTGAGTTAATTTCTTTTGTGTTGGTGCACAATGAATAGAAAGGCTCTTTAGGTAAGCTGAAATATGGTTTGGTAACAGGATTCGGAGAAACCAGAGCTGAAACCAGGATCTTTAAATAAATATCACTGATTCTGACATTGCTAATGTTTTTGAAGACATTAGTAAGGCAGATTGCAAATGATTATATGTAAAGAATTTTTTTACCTTTCAGTGCTGTATGTTCAGTAAATAACTAGCTGCAGTTGTTTATTCTGCAGATTTTAAATGCAAGAAAAAAAATTCCTGTCTCTTTAAAAGCTGGGGAAAAGTGTTTCCTCTGTAAAGGGCTTACTTTTTCTCTGAACTTTGTGTGAGGCTTTGGCTGTTCAAGATGGAGGATTGCTTAATGGAAGTTGTAGGGAGTTATCTGTATGGAGGTGCTCATGCCATGAACTCATTGCTGAAATCCACATACTAAAAAGGTAAAATTTTTCAGGGATGTAGATAAAAAGTGAAAGATGTTGATGAAAGTTTTATGAAAATTGGCTTGTCAAAGACAAGAATTGGCAGGTTTTCTTGTTGCAGCTGCCATCAATTTCATTGTTCACATTTCTGTGTTTAAAGTAGATTAGTAGAAACATTCCAAAATCATTTTGCAGCTGAGCTCACCAAATTCCTGGAGCTTTGAATGATACTGTTGGTCTTGTTTTTACTTAATTAGCAGGGAATGTTAGGAGTGACTTCAGTAGGTAATTCATTGTATTAACAGAATAATTAGCACTGAGGCATACAAACTAATAATATTTCAAGTGCTGTATTTAACTTGGGCAGTAAACATAGATGTGTCATGGATGTGCCATTTTTGCTAGCACATTAAGTAAAATTAGTTA